GGACACACACACATAGACACACACACCTGTACACATAGGAACACATGGACACACACACACACACCTATATACATAGGAACACATGGACACACACACCTGTAAATATAGGAACACATGGACACACACACACACACACACACACACACACCTGTACACACAGGAACACATGGACACATACACACACACACACACCTGTACACATAGGAACACATGGACACACACACACACACACCTGTACACACAGGAACACATGGACACATACACACACACACACACACCTGTACACATAGGAACACATGGACACACACACACACACACATAGGAACATGATGGGGGATGTGCTTCTGTGTATATGTTTCTCTTATTGGTTGGTTGATGAATAAAACACTGTTTGGCCAATGAGGCAGGAGTATAGGCAGGACAAGGAGACAAGGAGAATTCTGGGAAAGGCAGGCGGAGGAAGACCGCAAAACAGTCACCATGTGAGGGCCAGAAAGAAAGGCTGTACCGCGCGTTAGCTGATAAGATTAGACCTCATGGGAATACATAGATTTATAGGAATGGGTTAATAATTACGACACAGATGGCCAATAAGAAGCCCTAGCCATCGGCCAACAGTTTTATAATTAACATAGCAACTCTGTCAGTTCATTTGGGGCTGACAATGCCGTGGGACCTGGCGGGACAAGAAAACCACAAGCAGCAGGAACACATGGACACACAGAGACAAGAGATAAAGAGAGAGACAGAGACACACAGAGAGAACAAACATGAGGTGATCTCTTTCTTACCGGGGAAGCTACGTAAATCAGTCACTCCCTTTTCAGTCAGAGTGTCAAATGCTGAGGTCGACAGAGTCCGGTCAGTCTTGGGAGTCTGACCTTGGCTGATTTAATTTTCCATGCCAGCTTGCTGAGGAATGGGCCAATCAAAGCACATCTCCAGGGTGTCTCCAAGTGGGCTTATTCAGATAGACGGGTGGGAACGAGTCCAGTGAAGAGACGATGGTTTGGCTGCAGAGCAAACAGACAGGCACAGCTTGCCCCTCAGTTCACCATCTTACTTGCTGTGTGGATGTTGCTTTCTAGATAGTGTCCCGTTAGATCCCACCATGACTTAGCTGAAGAAGAGAAGAGCTGGGCGGGGTTTGCAGCCAGGGATCTAGAAGGCAGGGGTGCCCTCTTCCCCACTCCTGATTCCCCTCGGCATCCATTCTTGGGGACCTTAATGACAGCTTGGCTGAGCTCTGTCACTAGACATCGTCCAGCCAATTTTCATTGCTCAGTTTTTCCACAATACTGGAATATTTGGCAAGAAGTGACAGTTGTGCAATGGGAAAATTTCCAACACCAAGACCCAGGGAGCACAGGTGTTTTCCTTTCCCTGCTTCTAATAACGGCTGAGGGTGTGTGTGGGGGCTCGCAAGCTTTTCTGTCTTGTGCAGTGTGGGGATGGGGTGCCGATGACGGGTCGGGGTTGCTGCAAGGAATCTACGGGGTGTTTCAGTGAGGGTCACAGCATAGCTGTACCATTAAGTGCTATCGTTGGATAAAAGGAGTGACCCCCTAATTGCAATATGAATCCATAGTCTGTGCCAGAAGCCCAGCACTAACTTTGAAAAAGCGGGAAAGAGGATTGTCTATGTCCATGATGGGGTGACAAACAACAATAGCTGCACTCAGCAGATAGAATCAAACGCCTCCCCTGATGATTGCAATCACCAACCCCTAAAGGGAGATGCCCCAACTCGATATCCAGTTAATCACGGAGTAAGGAGCCTTGGGGGAAGTATGGGAAAGGGGAAAGAAGGGTCACAACTTACTACTACCTTCTCTCAGTGACACGGGCTGACCATCACAAGCTCTGCAATGTTCTATTGCAATAAATAAAGATGGTCCATGCAGTATTAGACTGAGAACCAGCCTGCTGTGTGTAGTGTCCTCTACTCGGCAGTCTGGTGGAGACATGGCCAGAACACCTCACTGTCTGGCTTATGTGGTTACAGTTCCTGCCGACCAGTGGTCGCCTTTGGTCCAGACAGGGTGTTTTCCCAACAAAGCCACATTATTCTCTCTCTCTCTCTCTCTCTCTCTCTCTCTCTCTCTCTCTCTCTCTCTGTGTGTGTGTGTGTGTGTGTGTGTGTGTGTGTGTGTGTGATTCCTGCTCCACAGCTAACCTGACTCACAGGAGCTGTTCTAAGCCAGTATGTATTTGTTCCTCTCCTCATGCCTCCTCAGGGTTTGAGTCAAGCCCAGAGGACAATGGAAAGCACTGAAGCTTTCATGTTGCATTTTTAGGGGTTATTCTGGGGGGGGGGGCTGGGTCTCATGACAAAGCCAGATTCAAATGCAGATTTTAGATTACACTCCATGCTTTCATTTAACTGGGAGGGAGGAAGGAAGGGAGGAAGGAAGGAAGGAAAAGAGAGAAGAAGAGAGAAAGGGGGAGGGAGAGGGATGGATACGGGAATTATTGACAAGTCACTCTTGTTGGGTTTCAGGCTACCAGTTCAATTACTGTAACCAACTTGGATGACAGCAATCATCTGTGTTGTATCATGCAGCCAATCCCAGACCCTGACACTTAAAATTCTGCACCTTAACCCCGTGAATGGGAGCAGATTTTATTCAGTGGATAAAAGAGAGATTGAGCAACACAAAACATTTTTTTTTTTTTTTTTTTTTTGGCCAGGATTAAAAGTTTTCCTATTCCCTTCAGCCTCCGAAATTTCCAGAAACACCTAGACCAGTCATTTAGCTAATAAGTCATGCAAAATAGGCTGTCTTTGGTGAGTAGTCTCATGGGGGGCTCTTCTAGAACTTTTTTACTTCCCCTGTGAGCATGCCAGTTGTGTATTTGGGGGAGGGGGTTCGAGACAGGGTTTCTCTGTATCTTTGGAGTCTGTGCTAGAACTCTCTGTAGACCAGGCTGACCTTGAGCTCACAGATACCAGCCTGCCTCTGCCTCCTGAGTGCTGGGATTCAAAGCGTGCACCACCACCACCACCCGGCTAGTTGTGTATCTTTAATGCCTCTCACTTCATATGATGAATTCTGTCATATCTGATGCCACAGGATCTGACTATTGATGTGTTACCATATGATAAAGAATAAAACAGTAAACATTACCACAACGAAGAACACTGTCTTGGAATTTTTCAAATGTGTTCGCGCTACTTTTGGCTAATTGTTTTTCTTTCACTGTCATTGTTATTATGTTATAAATTATTATCATTTTCTTCATTTACATAGATGAATTTTAGACCATAGTATATGCTGCTCGAAGGGACCTATATAATACCTACATGCCAATGTCCCTTGTGGGCTAACAAGAGAAATGCAGAGCAATGAAATAGACCGGTCTTGAGTGTCCGTATGCACCCAGGGAGATCTGGCTTTGGGCAGACCCGTTTCTCTGACTTTCCTTTTCTTTCCCATAAGCAACAACTGATCATGCTGATATTGTGGTCTAAGCATCGAACAGATGAACACTTTGTAAGAGCTTTATACTTTTGAGTAAGAATATTCAAATAATTGAAGCCAGTGCTGGAAATATGCATCCAATACAAGAAGGTAAGAGTTGAAGCTGTGTTTCGATAACTATATCCTCCAGCCATGGCCTTTCATCAATCTACTTGGAAAATAGGTATGTATTATATATTAGGAAAAGGAATCATAAAAAGAGAAAGGGATAGGAGACCAGCCTCTGGGGACAGGAGCAGCAGAAGAGAGGAGAGGGACAGAGAGAGAGACAGAGACAGAGAGAAGAAAAGAGAGAGAGAGAGAGAGAGAGAGAAGAGAGGAAAGGGACAGAGAGAAGAAGAAGAAGAAGAAGAAGAGAGAGAGAGAGAGAGAGAGAGAGAGAGAGAGAGAGAAGGATGGGCGGGACCTTTTTGAAGGGAACACCGTGAATGTGCACAGGTGGTGCTCTTAGTGGCTGCAGCTGAGGGCGTGTCCTGTCAGAACCCCAGGGACAGGCCAGCACAGATGCCTGAAGACCAACACCTGTCTGTCCCTCTCTAAGAATGCTCCAGGTCCCTATACACAATGCTTTGAGACAGGAGGAGGGCACACAGGCTGTGAACTTCCCTCCCTGGGCTTAGGAGGAGTGCAGGGAAGACACAAACCCACAGACGTGTTCCAGAGTACACCCACTCTGTTTTTGACACCCCAGAACTCTCCCTTTAGGGGCTGCTCCCAGTAGGACCGACTAATTCTCAATAATAATAATAATAATAATAATAATAATAATAATAATAATAATAGTAAATAAAAAGCCAGACTCTGAGCAAGAATGCTAAAACCCTAATTCTAACCCAGAACCCCGGCCCAGCTCCCACCCACCATTTATCCAGAAGAGCTCAGCATATTTATACCCTTATCTTTCCAACTACTTGAAGGAAAACAAAATTGGTCGACTCCCTCCCATCCCCCCCCCCTCAAAAAAAAAATCACTATAGCCATGAGGGAAGAAGTGAACTCAGAAGTTCCCTCTCCGTGGTGACATTCTCCTGGGCCACAATCTGCGGTAGACGTGGTCTGAGCGCCTTTGCAGTCCCCTGTTTCCCTGCTGATTACTTTTCATTGGGGTGGAGAGGAGGAGGAGGGAGGGAGGCAGAGCAGGAGACTCAGGAGGGCTGGGCTCCTTAGGGAAAGATAGTCTGTCTGTTTACAGTTTACTTAGGCAAAGGGACCTTAAAAAGGGACTTTGATAAGAGGGCATGGAGTTTCTCCAGAAATGAACCGGGGTGTTCTTTAACAAGGACTTGAGAGTCTTTTACGCACAGGTGCCTGGAGATCTGGGGAGTGTGCGCCTTTCCCAGCCGCCCGGAGCTGGTCTGTACATTTTCCTTAAGACCTTAAGTCCCATGACATCATGGGATCCTTTCACAGTTTCCTCTCCCTCTCTCCCCCTCTCCTTTCTTCCCTCCCTCCTTCTCTGTCCCTCCTTCCTCACTCAGTCTCTTCCAATCATTCTTTCTCTCTTCATTTCCCCCCGCAGGTAGTTCCTACAGAAACTTGTACCAACTTGTTTTTGACTGACAGCGAACAGCGAGAGAGTTTCTTCACTTAGAAAAACCCTGTCTTTCCAAGGCAACCCTGCATGGACTGATCATTTCCTTGCCTGCTCACAGTTTCTCATCCACCCAGGAGCCTGCACCGGGCACCCTTTGCAGGTAAGCCGCAGGCTCCCATGTCAACATGGGGACACTCGGCTTTCCGGAGATGTTTCTGAAAAACTTGACTTCTGAAGGTAATGAGAGCGTTGTCATTCTTTTAAAACATTCTTAAATCGCTCAAGCCAGCCAAGCTTATCTGGGGGAACTTACAAGGGCTGTTTACATGTGGGAAAAGGTTTTGCCTTAATGATGAGGCAGGGGTGGTGGTGAGTGCTTTATCCTCTCTGCAGAAAATGATAAAATAAACAAGCAGATGCTGCCCAGCATGCTGAGGGTGTAAGGGGTCTAGAGCCTGAGAGTTGCTCCTTGCGATGTTTTTCTGTGCTGTGCATCAGGGAGAGAGTGCTATTGGTTTTCAGTGACTATATAGTTGTTTTCTTAGGACCTCCTGGCTTTTCTTTCTTTTGTCGCTGGAGAAGTCAGTTTAGGCAGAAGTAAGGCAAATCGACAGACAGCTAAATGTTTAAAAACCTGTCACCTAGCCTGACAAAATAAAGAGCTCTGTAAGTTTCTGCGACAGGTCAAGGAGTGTAAGGAGTGTGCATTGTTCATGACCCACGGAGAAGGCTTCCCTCCCCAATGGATGTATGATTTCATGTGGATTTAGACTGTTTTCAGGGAATGAGCACCTGGAGTCTCCCACCGGCCCCTCTTCCCTACACTTCCGCGTTCAGTCACCTGAAGGAAGTAAGAACGTGTTCCTTAGACGTTCCACGACCCCGCAGATGCTTGAAGTCACAGGTTAGGAGACTTGAGAGCAAATGTAGAGGTTAACTTTGGAAAACCGAAGTCTTGCCCGGTACAACCCAAATGTTCAGCCTCCCTTCCTTTTCCCTGAACACGCTCACCCCTCCACCCGCAAAGCCCAGCTCACTGTCAAGGTAAACAATGAACTCCATAGTTCCCTTTTGGTAGTCTCAAATCTCAGACTGACACTCAGGCAGCAGCCTCTGTTACTCGGGACCCCTTGTCTGCTCTGCCCTCTCCCCTGAAGGTTTACACAAACAGCTCGACGTGGGTAATGGCCATGGGTGACAAATTCTCTCCAATTTACAACTGTGCTTAAAAAAAGAAATCAAAGGAAAAGTGTCCCGTAAAACTGGAATGTGCTTTTAAATGCCATCCACGTGTGAACACTGCTGCAGATGAAGGTAACTTAAGATGAAGAAATTAATTACAGACTCACCTCACACGTGGGGCCCAGGGCAATGCTCTTTCCAAACCTTCCTGGGGTTTGATTTCCTAACAGCTCCCCTCCTGAAGCAGAATAAATAACCACAGAGCATTACCCAGAGGTCTCGTGTGGGATTTCCACACAAGGCTGGAGACTGACAAACTTGAGCCGGGTCGCCTGTAGTCCTGGCCCCAGAAACCCGAGTCGGCCACAGATCAAAGCCTGTCTCCTGAGTCACATGTGTGAGTACTGTGAGGGTCTTAGGAAAACAGACTTAGCTAACGTGTGCAGTTCTGCTGCTTCCAGAAAATGCGTTTCTGAGGAACCCTCCCTCTTACCTCCCCCCCCCCCCCCCCCCCCCCCGCCAGTATCCGAGGCCACTTTACAGAAAGCTCCATTCCCCATTCCCCTCACCTCTCACCGGACAGCTCACATTTTGGAGGCCAGAAGAGTGAGCCCAGAGACATCTCATGCCAGCAGGCCCAGAGCTAACAAAAACAGTTCGTATGTGTGTGTTTGTGTGTGGACTCGTATGTGCGTCCTCGTGTGTGCACATGTGGATATGTGTGTACGTGTGTGCGCGCGCGCGTGTGTGTTCATGGTGTGCCGACAGGATGTGCTGGGGACCAGAAAGCCCACCCTTGTGGCTTTAGGCAGAGAATACAGAACAGCCTTCTCTGACTTTCACAATGGATTGCCAGACACAGTCTTCCCTAGGCAGTGGACCGCCTGCTTGAGCTTTGCAGCACCCGTTAACATCCCTTGCATGTGTCCCTTTAGAGTCCCAAGTCAGGCGAGAATGACTTTGTAAATAATCCCAGAATGAGAGTTGCAGTGGTGAAGGGGGGGGGGGGGAACCCAGTGTCAGCCCAGGCAGCACCTGTAGCTGTGCACACCTCAGGGGGTAGGGTGGGGAGTTGCCTTCTGATTTCTCACAGAAACAACAGTTTGCGCTCTCCCCAGTGCAGAAAATGCAAGGGTCTCGTTTATGTCCTCTCCAGTGGAAACGGTTTATTTTCTCGACTGCAAAAAATAGTCAGGAGGTCTCTGCAAGTAGTAATACGGGGTTCCCACAGAAGAAATGAAGGGTTGCTTATCAGTGGTCACCGTCGAGGAGCAGAGCAGAAAGGTTGCTGGCTGGCTGCCCTCCCAAGTACCCTGCCCTTCACGGAGCCACCTCCATTGCCCTGGAAGGAGAGGTTGGCAGGCACAGCATAGGTAGAGAGTGAGCCACAGACAGGCCTGGCCCTGTATCTCTCAAGGACACAGTGCCCACCCCCCTGCAAAGAGGCAGGTGTGACCCAACACTCCAGGCTCCTTGCTGCTGCTCAGGTGGCTTCCTGGTGCCAGTTCCTGTGGCAGATAAGAGAGCTTTGCCATCAGAAGTTCAAAGCCAAGCAACCAGAGGAAATCAGGGTCCTAAACCCCCCCTCCCCGGGCCTCTACATATCTGCTCACCAGCGGGATATGAAAATTTAATCTCATGGCATCCGGAATGTCTCTTGCGTCACCGGCATGTGGCCGAGGACAGATTTCCGTATGACGGCTGGCCCTTTTGGTCACATTTAGGCGTCAGGGTAAGACGCAGTCGGTGTATTTATCCCCTTACTGTAGAGTGCATGCATTAAGTCCATTCTGCACAGTGTCTACTCAAGATACAAAGGACACTTTGTGGGCGTAAGCCCAGAACCCAGAATGATACCACATTTGTCAGCAAGGCACATGTCTTCTACCGTGAACTCCGAGTAGTTGCCTCAGTGAAACGCCCCATAGTGGTCTTAATGATGGAAGAGACTGAGCGCATTGTAACAATTGCCTTTCTCAAGTTCAACTCTTTTCTGACTTTTCCTACAGGCAGAGCTTTCTGCCACGTCCTTCACCACTGAGCTGTGATAGATAGACCTTGCTTTCCTGAAATGCTAGGACGCTCCTTCCCCTCCCTGGTTTCTGTGAATGGGAGCTGTTTCCGATTGCATATGTCCAGTACCTGTCGTTTCTTGGGATGAATGCTTGCTAAGCTCATGGCCTGCCAAACAACACCATTTCTCCGTGATGCTTGTGCTCTCTGTATCTGCTCTGTCCTTATCCAAACCTTGCTGTCTTAATTCCTAGATTTACCCTTCCTATCTATTCCTATTGTTGTTGTTGTTGTTTTCTTTTTAAGTGTTCACATTGGGTGAACCCACCTGTCAATCATTCCCACAGATTTTCTAGGAGTTAGGAACGCATAAGAGTCTGGACACACCTGGCTGTGTGGCATGTCCATGGAAAGAATTTATAAATGGCTAGCGGCTACACTATACACATGCGTATGTATGCAAGCATGGCAAACTGTGGGAGCTTTCAGCTAAAATGTTGGTAATGAAACTAAAATTGTGTAGGTATACCCTGTTCTGATGTCAGCCATGTCTACGCAGCTAAACGCTGTTTGCAGTAACTTGCTTAGTATACTTCAAATCTGGATTTTAAGAATAATTTTTTCTTACTTTATAACTATCTGTATATGCGTGTGCCTGAGTGTGAGTCTGTGCACACAAGAGTACAGCCCTCAGAGGCCAGGAAATGACATCAGACCCCTTGGAGATAAAGTTTCAGGTGGTTGTGAGGTGACCGATGATAGTAAGGGCTGGAACCAGACTCTGGTCCTCTGCAAGTGCTTTTAATCACTGAGCTGTCTGTCTCCCCAGCGCCTATAATTCTAAGAGGTTTGTACTAAAGGCTAACTGTCGCTGCTCAGGTGATAGGATGCTTGTCTAGCAAACACAAATCCTTGAGATGTATACGCCCTCCCCCTCCACTTCCCTCCAACCCCCCCCCCCCCCACACACACACAAACCATGGTAGCCCAGGCCTGTAATCCTAGCTATCAGGAAGTAGAGACAGGAAAAACAGGAGTTCAAGGTCATCTTCAACAACACAGTGAATTCAAAGCCAGCCTGGGAAACACACGACCTGTCTCAAAAACAAACTGCCAAGTAAAGCGTAAAGGCTGACCGTGAAGAGCCAAGTCCTCCGGGTTGCTTTTGCACGCTGCCACAGCGGTGCCCACCGTCACCAGGACTCCTGCTGCATACATGTGGTGTTAACTGATTCGAGCCAAAACAGTGCTGTGACCCTCCGACCAACAGACACTCAGGAACGCCGCCGGCTTCCAGCCCTGGGCATTCAAGTTCCAGACTCCTGGCACATCGGAAACACTCTTAGACACTTGTTCTGTTTTGTCTACTGTCCCATAAAGAGCTTCCTGGTCTGTTACACTGGCGTGCAGAGTTTAAGGAGGGTCCCATGCAACTCCAGCTCTACAGGAAACAAGGGAGCTTGCTATTGGATTCAGGAAGTCCTTCTCAGCCTGCAGGTCCTAGGCATTAACATATTAAATCTCCAGGCTCTGCAACACAGCAGCCTTGAACCGGGAAACCCTACTCTGCACCTGCCTTAGGCAGAGACATCACCTCAGCCCTGTGACTAGACACTCCCCCGACGCATTTTCATATGACTGCACTGCAGATTGGGATGGGCAGTGGTAAGTGTGGAATGGCAAGGTGTCATGTGACCCCCTCTGAGAACCTTACAGCAAGTTGTGTCATAGTGGCCTAGGTTATCCGCACAGGTGACTGCAAGTGGTGTGCATGAAGGGCTCCAAGCAGACTCGTTCAGTCAGCCCTAGGAAACGTATTTCACATTTTGTCTCAAAGCCAAGTGCCATCTATTTCTCCTTAGCAACTTTGTTCCAAAGTTTCAGAGAAGCCGTTTGACTAACCTTCTCTTACACAGACATTTTCTTCTATAAATCACAGCTACATGCACCAATATCCACAGTGGT